AGTGTGACTGTTTGAGGTTGTGGGCAGGTGTCTTTTATACTGTTAACGACTTCAAACAGGTGCCATTAATACAGGTGATGAGTGGGGGAAAGAGGAGCCTCTTAAAAAAGAAGTTACAGGTCTGTGACAGCCAGAAATCTTGCTTGTTTGTAGGTGACCAAATACTTATTTTCCACCATTATTTGCAAAAAAGTCTTTAAAATTCAGACAAAATGATTTTCTCAAATTTTTTTTCACATTTTGTCTCTCATAGTTGAGGTCTACTATGATGTCAATTACAGGCCTCTCTCATCTTTTTAAGTGGGAGAACTTGCACAATTGGTGACTGACTAAATACTTATTTTCCCCACTGTATGGTGTGAATTAAGTTCTGGTTCAGGTTAAAGTTAACTATAGACCAGTAATGGTTAATTTTACTAGTTAGGTTTAGAGGTATGGTGTGAGTTAGGAATGTGTGATATAAACAATATACGGTAGAAATGATATAAATTTGTCCTATGAAAGAGATCTGTAGTCTACCGGCCAACTGCACAGTTGTTTTTGATGATGTAACCAGCTGGAGTCAAAACAGAGGAAGCGGGAAGCAGCGTGGCTGAGAGCGTAATTGAAGGGGGGGGGCGGGGACATAACTTATCCGGACCTGGTTCGGTTGAGTGAAAATGTACGTGGAACTGTTTATATATTTATGTGATGGCTCGTCCTCCAGTCGGATGCTGACTGAGCACACTGCCTGCTGCAGGAGGAGTGTGCGCCGCGGGACATAGCGAGGCGACAGTCAGTGCAGGTGAAGTAGTGCTCCAGGACTCACAAAAGCTCGCTGAGTCTGGACCTCGTTTCTCCTGCGGTCATAGCGTGACGACGCACGGCCGAATGCGCACGCACTCTGCACACACTCCAAAGCGCGACTATAAAACTCAGCCTGTCTCCTTGTACAGCGGAGAAGCGCTGTGGGAAAGGGTGACAGTCAAACTGTCTTTCCAAAAACAAACATGAAAACCGTTTTGTATGGTTAAAGGACAAGCTGTTGGCCTCCAGCTGACAGAACTGTTTCATGTCTTCATGTTGGTGCCTTTCTGAGTCGACTGCAGGACACGTTCTAAAACTAGCACTGATCGGCTGATCGTCATAGAAGCAGCGCTCTAAATGCTAATTTAATGTCCCTGAGCAATAAAGGAAATCAAAAGTCACCTGTGTGCTCTTTGACATTTTTTTCAGGGTTTCCCCTAGGATGTTTTTTTTTAGCCGTGGTGGTGTGGTGACCTCTCATGAGCAGGGGGAGGGGGGGAGTAAATGTAATTTAATAAGTATATTCTGTATACAACGTTTAGTACATACCAGTGTTCTCAGTCAGCAGGTTGACAGTTTTAGGAGCTGCTTGAGGAGAACTCCCTCGTTCTCCTCCTCATCCTCTTTGAAATAGAGATAAAAAATCAACATCCATCCATAAGCTTTCTGCTTACAGGTCAAACGTTTTTATTTAAATAGGAGTACACAGTGTACTTATTAAAGTTACAGTTTAGTGTTCTTAGGACTGAAGACTTTCTGAGGAAACAAGTTTTTAAACATCTTTTCTATCGTTTTACTGTTTTCAACTGAGGAGCTTTGATATATTTATTTAAAAAAACTTATAGCAGAGGAAGTTCTCTGCACRKWAAAAAATAATTTATTTTTACTGTTTTTTTTAACCAAACTGACAAGTTTCTCCAGTAAAATGATTGTGTAATTTAAAGGCATTGAAGCACCTGGTGAAATTTAGAAGATATTTATGATTAACTACAAACATCTGAAGCTGACTCAGAGAACTCTGTGATTTTAGAAAAAATAAAAGTCAAACGTAGACACGTCTTTAAAAGACCCTCCTCCCCCTCCCCACCTCACACAGCTGCGATCCACTTGCACCTCCACTCCACCTGCGTGTGATTAATACAGTTTTTTTTTTTTTTTTTGCGCAAATTGCATACTTTTGATGCTCATTATACAAGTAACCGTCTGAAGGGGTTGACATGTGGACTTTAGTCCCGGGCTGGTCAGAGCCGTGATGTGTATGGAGAGGTGCAGCTGCTGGTCCAGCTGCCTCCCTGAGCCCTCGCTTTAAAAACAGATCTGTGGCGGTTTTGTTGTGCTCGAGTCGTGAACACACGGTGTTCTGGTAGAAATACTGTGAGCTGCTTTTAGGAATATAATATATATATAAAATATGATGTAATCCTCAGTGGAAACAGTCCAGGAAACACTGAGGGCTTTCCTGGGACATGTTGGTCTGAGCCGAGCTGACCCTCCATCACAGAGAGAGGAAAAAGGCAGCGCTGTCAGTCGTACCGTACGACCCGCCCTGCTCTGTTCTGATTGGATAAAACTTTGACTCTGGTTCTCTTTATTGGGTGAAAGAACCATCAGTTTAATCCCTCGACAGTTTTAACAAGTTTCTTTCCCTCCCGTTCATTTTGACAATGACGAACACATGCGGAGGAAAACTTTAATCCAGGTTTTTTTTTCTTGGTTGTCCACCAGACAACTGGGAGGCGGGATCTGGTTGTCTGAAACGAAAACAGGTCGTCTCGGACAAACTAAACAATGATTGTGTCAACACCTGTTTTACATTGATTAAAAAAACTTCATTCTGAAGGTGTGGCGGCTTTTATCTAGCCGTGGTGGTGCGCCACGATCATTTACATGTCGGGGAAACCCTGTTTTATTAACAAACACCTTCCAAATAATGACAACAAGAGCTGCTGTTAAAACAGTTCATTCTGTCCCCCTGTGAGTCCCCCTCTGTCCTGCACACAGACACACACCTAACTCCACCCACAACCCCCACCCTTTGGAAAATTAACCCTTTAGATATTCAGTTTGTTTACCTCTCTGAGTAGAGGGGAAACAAATTATTTTCACAATGATTTCTTTAATTGATTTTTATATTAAATAAGTGATATTTTGTATCTACAAGAGGTAGTAGGAATGATGAGCACAAAGGGCATGAGTTAATTTTTTTACTGGTAAATGTTTCTTTTAAAATATGGTAAAGAAGTTGGTCATTAATTTAAAATGAGTTTTTTAAATAAATGTCTGTATTTTGATATAAAATAAATCACCCATCCATTCTGTCCTTGTTCCTAATCAGGATCAGGGTGGGAGCTGGAGCCTTTCTCCACTCCACTCCTTACAAAGTTTATATAAACCTGCAAAATTTAAATTTACATAGGTGAAAAGAGTTACAGACAAACCAGGACTGGACATTGTGAAACCGACACACAACAACAGCTACAGCTGGAAAATCAGGACCCTCCTCTAGCCAAGGAGGGTTCTTTGTGTCCCCCCTCTGGCTCATAAAATAATTGCGGTATCCCCCTCCACTGCTTGCGTAGTTTATAGAAGTTTACCAAATTTACGTAGAAAAAGAAAGACTCAACGGACCTGATAATCAGCAGGGCATCAGCTGAAAGTGGGCATCAAAAAACTGAACGGGGGATTGCTAAGACACCCTGACACCCCTCTACAGCCTTGTGTTTGTGTTGACACGTCAGTTGGTGAACTACAACAGAACTTTCATTTACACTAATGTTTCTTCAGAGAGCACACAAGGCTGCTGAACATCATTGTCTGAAATTTAGCAAAGCAAAATAAAACAAAATAAGGACAAATAATCTAAGGTCAACTGAACTATCAACAATACCAAAGCCAGAAAAACTACTCAGTGAGCTTATTTACTTTTAACATTTTGTGTTTTACTTTTTCTTACAATAGTTTTCTAGTTGAATTGTACAGTTCAAGTTTTGAAATGATTTATTATGAAATCATTTTTACATCACAAAGCCTGGCATTTGACAGGAATGTTAATTTTTTATACCCACTGTATGTTAGAAAGAGTTAATTTTGTCTTCTCTCAATCTTTTAGGCATTAAACCTTTCCAATGTGATCGCTGTGGGAAAAAGTTCACACGGGCCTACTCCTTAAAGATGCATCGGCTGAAGCACGAAGGTAAACGCTGTTTCCGGTGCCAGATTTGTAGCGCCACATTCACGTCCTTCGGTGAATATAAGCATCACATGAGGGTCTCCCGACACATAATCCGCAAGCCGCGGATTTATGAGTGCAAAACATGCGGCGCCATGTTCACCAACTCTGGCAATTTAATTGTACACCTGAGGAGTCTGAACCATGAGGCATCCGAACTAGCAAACTACTTCCAGAGCAGGTGAGGAGTCTGGGGGTGCTGACCCCCATCATTTACTCAGATCTCACCTGGATCAGAAACTAACTTTCGTTTACATTGTAATACCCAAAGTTTAATGGATCCTTGTCCTGACTTTGGTTGTGTATACTTGTTACTGAGATGATGAATTATTTTGTTGCATTTACAGGGAAATTTTAATGTGTCTTGTTCAACACCATTGTTTTCTATGTTCATGATGAATGGGGAAAAATTCAGTCTAATTTATGAGCTCTAAGAGTCACCATAAGAGCAGTGGCATGTGATCTTGACACAATCACTGATTTGGTCATTTTCAAAACTGTTGAGTAACTTGATTGAGCGTTGTCCTATTCCTACTGTATTTATTTAAAGCCAATGGAGAAGCATGCCTATCATAACTGTGCTTGTCTACCATACTGAACCCTGGTCACAGGCTTTTTAAACCAGTGGTCCTAAATCCTGGTCCTCAAAGGCTGCTATCCTGCATGATTTAGTTGTGTTCCTGCTTTTCACCAGGTTTTTACGTTCTACAGAAGCCTTTTACATTTAAATCAGGTATGTCAAATCAAGGGATGCACCAATCCACTTCTTTCACTTCCGACACTGATACAGATATCTGAGGTTTAGTATTGGCTAATACCAATCTGATACCAAGAAAAGAGTGCTGAGTGACTTAAATATTTCTTGTAATGACATAAATGCACTGAATTACAAATTTTTTTAGTCACTGTGCACCAATACAGCAATTTTAAATAAACCAATAGCCTAGTTTTCACACACTTAGTCAAATGTCTAAAAATAACACAATTTTACCTTGTTCAGTCATTAGTTATTCAAAATGCAATATAATGTAAAATATATCATGTAAACTTATTGCTTTGACATCTCTTATCAGCTCTATGTGTTTGCACAGTAAACTGCAGTTCAGGTTAAGCCATTTCTGGCAAATATTTTTGGCTTACCATGTCGTAGCGTGGCTCACATGGTTAATTTTCAGCCAATGTGTTGGCTGAGGTAGAGTAAAAAAAGATCCAGATGGCTGACCCTTTTGCTTGCTCCATTTTTGAAAATAACGTGAGCCTCTGCGCTGCATGTCACCAGCACATGGCGTTGCTCACAGGGCTCATAATAGAGTTAGACTGAATAGATCTGCCCCTATGGATCAGGCCCATTGTCACTGATACCTGATCTAGAAAGGTTTTCAATATCTGGACCATTACCGATATTAATATTGGATCAGTGCATCTCTAGCTGAAGCTGGGAAACATCTAAAACAAACTGACAGCACAACTACACACTCTCTTTATTTATCTATACAAATAGCTTGCAACACTCATAGACCAGTTAAAGTTTCTCTTCTTTAAACACATCAAACATTACAATGATTTCACAGTCATAAAGTTTTTCAGTCTTTCAACATTCATACAAGTGTGTGTGTGTGTTTAAATAAACAAAATAGGAACAAACCAGTTCAATAAAAATAATTATAACACTGTTTTAGAGCTCCAATTTACATTTAAAAAGCATGTGTAAATATTACTGTTGTATTCTTAAACCCACACAAACCTTTAAAATGTAAAATGTGTACAAATCATGATATTGAAAGGATCTTGGAAACACAGTAATCCAGTTAAAGGTTTGTTGAATTATAAATTCTTTTAGGATCTGTGGATGTGGTAGGTTATCTAGTATAAAAATTACTACTGTATTTTGGGACTATAAATCACACTTTTTTCATAGTTTGGCTGGTCCTGCCACTTATACACCTAAGCAACTTATCTGTTTTTTCCTCCCCATGCCATATTTTTTGACTGATGCATTTAATTCACACTGACTGACATGAATCAAGGAGTTAAAATAAACAATCGTTTGCAACCATGAGAGGGCGCTCTAGGCTTGTGATGACAATGGTTCATGTTGTAGCCTGTAGCCTACTGGTTATAAAATTGAGCAGCAGAAAGAAAGTTTGGAGTGAATGATAATCATGAGAGGGATTGGCGACAAGCACAGGTTGCTTTTACTGCCCTGAATAAAATTATAAAAGCTAATTGGGTGATGTGGAATGAAATTTGTGAACTTAGCAGTAACTTGCTTGTTGGAGTGTATTGGGTCCAGATGGTAGTGTTTATACTGCGCACAAAGCCACCTCGCTGTAGGCGCCAGTGGGGATCAAAATATTTCAAATGCGCAAATCTAATTTCATTCACTTTGCGACACAACAATAATGGACTACACTAAACTCAAAGGAAAAGTACCAAAGACTTTACCAGACCATCCAGCAGCATGACTCTTATGACGGTTGGGCAGGACGACAGAGAGGTTAGCAAGCTAACAGTAGCTGTGTTTCCATTGACCTTGAAAATGCCCAAAATAGAATTTCGAAAATAAATTTGCTCAATGGAAACACGTCAATTTTGAGAAAAAATTACGTTTTTCGACAAAATGTTTTTGCGCTAGGATGAGGTGGAATTTTGGCCGTATCTAAATTGGTGTTTTTCACAAAACTACAATGGAAACACTTTTTTCACATCACAGGAGTCACGTGATCAACAACCGTCTGTTTCTACTGGTGAAAAAGACGATGATGAAGAAGATAACAGGAAGTAGAAGTAGTAGTAATATCGTGGCAAAGATAGTCAGAAACACGGCGAAAAGGGTGTTTAAAAGACAAGTCTTGCGGGTATGATTTATAA